TGAACCACGACGAGCTCTGTGACGTCAAACGTTTCGGCCGCCGGTGAATATTGGCTACCATAAAATTATTTATAAAATCGCAACGAATGAACCGACTTCAATGATTTAAAAAGTATAGCAATTAAAAAGCTTATTAGATCATTATAATGTGGATTTTGAGTTCTTTTATGACCTAGTAAGATCCTCATTTGTAAAAAACGATGGTAAATTTAAACTTTTTTTAATCTGATTACGTATACGTTATCAAAATCCTATAATAGTTTTAATGTTTGCATGCTTATGATTATCTTATCTTTTTGATACGGATAAAGCGTCGGGGAAAAGTAAAATGAATCATAACAAACTATGTTAGCAAGGTGTGGGTTCGAGATTTTCTCAATAGATTGTGATTCATATGTCAAGTTATATAAAGCTCGAAGTCATTTGGACAAATTAGTCAGTTTTGGGTAAATTGACCTGTTGCTGTCTGTAAGTACGCCATTTATAAGATACATTTCCCCGTCTGTCTACCACAAAAATGTTGGATTCACAGGTTAGAATTTTAGTTTAGTTAGAAATTTATAAAATCTTTTTATAATATTAGTATAAGATATAAACAAATAAAAATTATGGTAAAAGCTGATCACACTTATTCAGAGACCCACTCGTAAAATCGTCACATCACGTCTTATTAAAATATTCAAATATTATTTATGCACGACTTGACGTCAATGGTAAACATTAATTTATTGTCGAACCACGTGAAAACCGCATAGATGACTGAAAAACTTTGTACAATATCGCTAAAAAAATAATTACATAAATATTTTGATAGTCCACGATGTATGTATGTGTTACCTCATATAAGCTAAGTAATTTCGTTTGATAACGTATACTTTAATAATAATTATATGAACATGCCATTATATAAACTAATTTGATTGATGACAATTTTTATGTCGTATCAGAATATTCAGAATACATTCATTGATTGTGACCTTGTACCCAATATCTCACATTTTGTAGTAGTATCGAAAAAACAAATTTGCCAGTTGATAGGGAGCTTTCCCGAGCAGGTTTTTAAAGTTTATTATCAGAAAAGGCAGTCGCGGAATTTGTTGCAGACATAACGTAGGTATATGTATGATATATAATTTTAAGCGGCAAACGCACTACAATAAATAAACGATGATGAAAAATACAATTTCTAATGTAAATTTAACAGTTAAAAGAAAACATAAAAGTTAACTCGCTACTTAAAGTATATCAACGGACAAGGATTAGCTATAAAACCTATCAGCTAAACTAAACGACTTGACGAGATTTAAGGAAAAGTAATACAAGGCTTCAATGTGATCCTTGAAGGACCCCTTAACTTAACACAATCCAACACAATGTTGGATAATGTTGATGAAATAAAATTTATACTAATATTATAAAGAGGAGAATTTGATTGTTTGTTTGTTTGTATTGAATAGGTACCGACAATACTAGACCGATTTGAAAAAATATTTCACGTTTAGAATCCTACATTATCCTTGATGAACATAGGCTATAGAGTATTTTCAAAAAAGTAAGGGTTCCGTATGAAAACTTCGATGTCGTAACCCAGGGTGTAAAAAAAAATATCAAAAAATAACCTTATATCGCTTACACTGCAGAAGTCATTGACAGTAGAACAAAGTGATGTACTAAAGTTTTATAGAAGACATCAATGTCTACAAAAAAGTCCGTGATACCATATGTCTAACTATTACAGTTTTGTAAAACTAGTTTTTACGGGTTAATGCACGAAACTTTATTTATTTATTGACGTTTAGTTAGGGTCAAATAAATAAACTCAAAATTACAAACAAGAATTTTAAATAAAATACTTTATTAAGTAAATTAAATAATAAATTCATACATAGACAATAAAATTTTAAAAATCTTCCAATGAAATAACCGAACGCACAATATAATTCTTTCGAAGGTAGCTCGACAATTTTAAATAAAATCATTATTCTGACGATGCAGACCTGAAAAGGCTGCGAAACGTCAATAAATAAATAAAGTTTCGTGCATTAACCCGTAAAAACTAGTTTTATTTAATGAGTGATGTGCGTGAAAACCTAAGAAACAAATATATTACAGTTTTGGTCGGAACTAAACATCCCCTGCGGTTTCTATCATGTAAATTTTTAATTTATATGAATTTTTAGGCTGAAACTAAATGAATTGCTTCGTTTTTATTTTTGCATTGCTTTGCTTGCTGATTTATGTTTTTTGCTGTTTTGATTGACTTTAATTTATTTTTATTTTTTGTTACTTGAAAGCAAAGGATGCGTAGTCCATACATCCTTACAAGTTATAAAAAAAAAGGAATAACTAACATGTCTTTTTTGTGTCACTAAACAGGCTCTGCCAGAATAACAGCGCTGGTGCGACACAATGTCGCATCAGCTAATGCTGAGGCAGAGTCCTGGTTAGCCCTGTGTTTTTTGAATTTGTATGTGTTAATACCTGTATGTTATGTAATACCTGTAATATGAGGGTTAATAAAATATATTCTATTCTATATATAACAGGGGGTTGTGTTGGCCATTTGGCTTACACAGCTGAGAAGCTGTCATTATAAAACCCTTTAGTGAATTTTAGTTATTGTATTTGCTTTGTCTTTTCACGACACCGTTAATAACATGAATTTGCTTTTTGTGTGGAATTCCCAACACATAATTAGTTACAATTGTAATTATAAAGATACAAAACTTTTGTCGATGTTTGGCAATTTACAAAATGCGACTAGACATTTTGATAGAAGGACGATAGAAGGAAAGGATAGGCTTGTTGAAAATATATCGATGTATCGATATATCGATATTTTTTGGCCGATATATTTTGATTCGATATATCGATACATCGATACAAAATAACCAATATCGAAATTTGTATCAAAAACGATATTTTTTTAATTATTAGCGGCATATCACGATCTAACTAAATTCGTATCTGGAAAAATCGTAACTGGATCTCAGATTAATGATATTCAACATATCTATGATCAGGGGGCCAATCGCCTAACGGAAATGCTTTGGAAAACGCTAACGCTTACGATTTTATTTTGTTATTTCTAGCCGCCTGAGGTATTCAAATGCCTCGCGCTCTTTCTTTTTCTTTTGCATTGGTAATAACAATATTAAAAAAAATGAGCGTGAGGTATTCGAAAACCTCAGACGGCTAGAAATAACAATATAAAATCGTAAGCGTTAGCGTTTCCCAAAGCATTTCCGTTAGGCGATTGGGCCCCTGTGCTGTATTTAATATTGTCTATGTCATCATTCTAAAATAAGTCTATTTTTAGGGAGATAATTTTCGTTCCATTATTATTCCGCGTGTCATATTTCGTGAGCAACTGTACGATATTTTTGGGAAAATTGGTCCGATATATCGATATATCGATGTTTTTTTCACGATATATCAAAGCTGATATTGATATTTTTTAAAATACATATCGATGTATCGATATATCGATATTTTTTTCAACTTTCGACATCCCTAGGAAAGGATAATAAAAAGACTAAGCACAAATTTCAAATTTTGATTTAGCAATAGCGATAAACACTTTTTTTACATTAACAAAAATCTAGTTTTATCATAGGAAACGTTGATTTGAAAAATTATATTGTTTTATTTATTATCATTACAGTTTATAAATAACATATCTGGGTAAAGGTCAATATAGTAGTGGCTTTTTGAATTTTCTTAAAAAAACGTATGTTAGTGCCATTTATAAAGGTGGTAAGACTAATTGTACAATTTTTAAGACTTCTTCATGAACAATTCTCGGCTCGAGAATTCCCGGGAAAGCGTTGGGTTTTGTTCCCGGGAAATCAAGCTCGAGAAAAGTCGGGAACTCGAGAAATCATGTACCTATATAGAAATTAAATCACCGTTTGTTCTGTTGCATTATAATTACTATTTACTTTCATGTTATATTTTTTTTGTTTTATCGTAGCTATATTTGTTTTCAAGTTTTTAGTTGTTTTTTTTTTTCTAAATAACCAGCCAAAAATGGTGCTGTGATTGTAATTTAATTATGAGTTAAGATATTAACGTTTTCTTTAATGTTGATTTTTGGTTTAGTTTAATAGAAGCTAATTTTGTTTATAAGTTCTAAATAACCAGCCAAATATGGTGCTCTCATTATAATTATGTGTCTGAATAATATTATTTCTGTACTAGCGGCCGCTCGCGACTTCGTACGCGTGGAGTTACGAGTAGTTAGAAATAACAGTTCACTGCTCGTTCCTCGTGGGTGATAGCGTGATAATACGTAGCCTATATGTTGACCCGACTTCTTAATAATATTCGTGCTAAATTTGAAGTAAATCCATGCAGTGCTTTTTGAGTTTATCCCGGACACACATACAGACAAACAGACAAAAATTCTAAAAACTATATTTTTGGCTGCGGTATCTTATGTAGATCACACCCAAGTATTCTTTTACAAAAATATTCAATGTACAGTTTTGACTTTCCTACCATTTTATTATCTGTATAGATGTTTTTGAAGTTAATTAGCTTATTCATAATATTAATGTTTTTGAGTATAATCAATTAAAGTTTTATAGTTAATTTGATACTTTTATTTGAGAGGAAAACCACTGATATTGTTGACGTTATTGGAACCAAATAATATAATAAGAGAAAACGAACGTGAATGTAAATTTCTCGACAACCCGAGAAGCCGAGAAATTAGCCTCGAGAATTCTCGAGACCCATAGAAATTGAAAAGCTCGAGAAATCATGAACCCTATCAACAACTCTACATTTTCGACCTGAAAGCAATAAATTTATAAAATTCTGTTTACGCCATTGATGGAAAGTGAACACCGGCGCATACGGGTCATTGGTTATGTTTACATCATCAGGTCGAATGTCAGCCGTTATCATTATCGCCAACCGCGGCCGCAGACAGCTAGGTGGGAGATTATCACGCTACCTGCGAGCGGCACGGCGTTCATGTACACCACACCAACCTGACTTCATCACGTGTTGTTATCTGGCCGGTTCGCGCACTTTGACAGCAGGGAGAAAATTAAAAATAAAAACGCACGCGTTGCCTTCGAACGGTTCCCGAGTACTACGGACTTGGAATTAGGAAAAACGCGCGCCGGATCGCCATCGCCAGTCCGCCACCGCGCAGCGGACCGAGCGCACGCAGCCGACTGCATTTCTCTCTTTTTTGAAATTATATTCTTCAAGTTTTGTGGCGGTTATTTTAAATTAAAAAGAAAAACGTGTTGTGTAATTTATTTCGAAACAACGGTGCCTTCACACCGCATAATAGAGCACAAAGGATTTTGTTTCCACGTTCGGTAAGTTTTCTCAAAATATCTTGACCGTAAACTATTTTCAGTATTTTCTGTTTCAACGGATCTTTCTGGAGATAGATGAGTATCGGTATGTATTATTAAAAATCGAATGAAACAAAATAAAAAATAATACGACGTGCAAAACTAGGCATTTTTACAACACCTTAGTCAGATTATACGCAAGTAAGTTTATACAAGAGCACTTACACAATTCGAATGTTCAATAAACTCAATTAAAACTACTTCTTAAACACATACTTCGATAATCGTCAAAATGTAATAATAAACCTCATCTCATAATTAATATTCATCGCCAAATATGTTAACAAAAATCTCCTATTGAATTAGTTGAAAGAAAACATTTTTTTTTCATTGACAAGGTCAATAGGTTGAATAAAAAGATGTCTGGATTTAACTTTTAAGGAATCTCTTAAATACCAATAAATTATAAAAGTGTAGGTATGTATGAACATGATAGAATAGAATAGAGAAATATTTATACGTAATGATGTACATTAAATTATTAAAACATTTACATAAATTAAAAGAAATAAAAATAGAAACAGAGATCAATAAAAATTTAAATCCAGATATCATGGTCTAGTCTAACATACTATATCCAATTCATGCTTTTAATTACACAAAAAATATGGTTGGATTGTATATGTAGGATAAGCAAGCCACCTTATAATAATAAGTGTATTATTATTAGGTAGCTATTCCTAATATTATCATTTTCAAATACATGCGATTGAAATACCTTCGGGTATTCATTTTGTGCATAGTAGGTATAATTTTATTTTACAATTTGAAATTTGGTAATAAAAAATCTACGCAGTTAAAAGCCTTAAGGAAGGAAAGAAGATTTTTAAGAAAATGGCCATTGATGGTATCATTTATATTATTTTGACCTAAACATCTTTTTTTGTACAAACTTACTAAAATAAATTTCTTAAATTCCAAAAACAATAGAAATTCGAGAGAAAACCAGCATTAACTGGCGGATCATCAATCATTTTAAACACAGTGAGCGGTTTCATAGAACCGAAACAAAAGCTCAGTACTTTTAGCACGAACCATCATCGAATTCGAATAGTTTGCGAGTCCTTAATGCCAGTGTCAAATTTTGTATGAAAACTTGAACATTAACGCCATAACGTATGTAACGAGAACTAAAAATCAGTACACATTTGACAATGGCATTTCGTACTCGCAAACGATGCGAATTCGATATTGGTTCGTGCTAGGGGTACTGATTTCAGAGGAACATTATTATCCGATATACAGGCATTATTTCCATGGAATGATCTGAGTTTACGACGTAATCTCATCGATACTGTATCAACATCAGCTAAACACCGTTGGTCGTATGACGTCTTTGAATTTTTGTGTTTCGGTCAGAAACGCATTTATAACGACTCCATTTTGATCATTTTACATACAATTGAATACCAAATGACTGAGCTGGCTTTTATTTTATAGGTAATATATTTTTTTATTTTCATGGCAGACGTCAGACTGTATTTGTAAGGTCATCGTTACATGTTTCAAAGAGCTCATAGTCCAAAATTTACATCTTCAAATTTATGTAGAGATTCATGTTACTGTTTCAGGTTTACGTATTTTTATGTACGTAAATTCAAACTCACGTCACTTTAGGTAACACGAACGGGTTAAAAAGCCATATTCATACACACAAATACAAACACATATAATATCACATATAAGTAGCATATTGCCAAATAATTAAATCAGCTTAGCTTACCTAGTAGGTAAAGTACTCGCAATTTAGTTTTCACAGAATAAATCCTTGAAAGTACAGTATAACATATCACCGCAATTCCTCAAAATCAAATTCATTAGTAAAACACAACATATATCTGAGTGAACAAACATATTTAGACAAAACTCGGTTTAGACTTACACTGAACAATCTTTTGATTTTATCAAAAATAATATTTAGAAAACTAACTACATGAAACCTTCCGTTAACTTCTACTACTTGTTCTAGCATTTTAACAAGCTGCTATTTATCCTAGTTTATTTATATACTTAAACATTTGATATTATCAAAAATAATATTTAGAAAATTAACTACATGAAACCTTCCGTTAACTTCTACTACTTGTTCTAGCATTTTAACAAGCTGCTATTTATCCTAGTTTATTTATATACTTAAGCATTTGATTTTATCAAAAATAATATTTAGAAAATTAACTACATGAAACCTTTCGTTAACTTCTACGACTTGGTCTAGAATTTTAACAAGCTATTTATCCTAGTCTAGTTTTTTACTTAAACATAGTTGCAAGCGGTGGCACATTGGCTATCGATGTTTGCAACTTGCAACATACAGCATTAGCACTAGAAGTGTGTTGCCTACCCTGACCGCATTCTCCTATCCTGTCCAAGTCTGACAGATCTTTATGCAGAAATACACACTGGTTACCATGTGATTACTCATTAATCTGTAACCTCCTGTAAGGTAAGGATATTCTTTACATTAATTTGGTATACCAATTCCAACGTGAAACGCATCTAAGTGCCCTGGCTCTTTAAATTTTTATTATATGAGAAATCCTAATCTTATCGTGATCTCGTGCGGTTGCATTTCAAGCTGCGACGATATTTTTTTCTCATAACTGCAATATTGTTTTCTTAAATAATTTGCACGCGATGGCGTCGTCAAAGTGACACTGAGAGTAATTTAAATCAAGGGTAATTGATACTCATCTGAACGCACGCTCAATACAAGGGATGCTATTCTCAAATCTTCAGTCTGCATCCATTTCGTTGTGACAATGAATGTCCCTTGTGATAGTATTAACTTGCATACGTGCGTTTATTATCCATCTTGTTACATTAATGCTTGTTGGTTAATAATGTCACTTTTAAATTATCTACTCCAATGAATGAAATAATCAAGCTTCAATATCGTTTAATGAAACTGGTTTAAAATGGGTATAAATAATAATAATAAATATTTCCAACACTCACACCAATTAGCCTAGCCCCAAAGTAAGTACTGTAATGCTTGTGTTATGGCATACTAGGGTAACGGATAGAATACACATACAGTATATATATAAGTATATTTATATAGAAATACATATTAAACATCCATGACTGGAGTGCAAATATGCTCGTATTCATCACACAAACATCTGCCCCCACTGGGATTCGAACCCGGGACCTCCCGAGTCGGCGACACCATGAAACCCGGCGTACAAACATCCAAATGGAGTACAAATATGCTCGTATTCATCACACAAACATCTGCCCCCACCAGGATTCGAACCCGGGACCTCTCGAGTCGGCGAAACCATGAAACCCGGCGTACAAACCCCGACCCCTCTCTCGACTCGTATCATATTCATTGTGTAAAATTTAATTAATCGGCTCAACTCTTAAGACATTTTTTATGTTTAATTTGAAATTAGTCTTTTTTCATCAACCTCTCAGTCAGAAATAATTTTGGTAAGTATCATAAGAAGCGCCGACCTCTTCAATAACTCGGTTACCATCAATTACAATTAAAAAAGTAATTTATTTCAATTCCTTTTTGCTTACCTTTCATTCCTGTAAAAAGCTCTTGATTTTTGCAATATAAAGCACAAAGTTTTGTAAAATATTCTACAAATTGGGGAAAAATTACAACATTATCCTTTTTATATTTTTTAAGCATTCAACTGCTAGCTACTTTAATCTAAAGAAAATATTACTAGAAAAAAATCCACGCGGACCAGGCAGCAGACGAGACTCGAACCCGCACCCTTCGCTATCCGGACGAATGCACTGACCATTATGCTACCGCGGCCCTGATGGCCGCGTCGAAATTTCTCTAGATTTAGGCTGCAAGGCAGCGCCATCTCTTCGCATTGTAGGTAACCCACAATATTTTTTCTAGTAATATCTTCTTAAGCATTATCCTTTTTTATGTTACACAGAGCTAGATAAGCTGCTCGTGTGTCTTTTGCGCGGATCAAATGAGTTTTATCACTATTTCACACGTGTCTCTTGACATAGTTAAAGCTGATCCTAAGGTAAACATACTGTTTATTCTAAATAATACTACATATTAAACATACATGAAATAAGATACACTTAAACAAATGGAAAGGTATTTACAATTTAACATTAATGCACTAGAATTTATTTATCATGACATTTATTTCATTAATCAATTTAAAACAAAATCAGATACCAAACTGCGGTAAATTTTAAAACCCAATTAATTTTAGGAGGAAAATTTTATAATTTACTTTGGTAAGCTTAATATTACAAATTTAATTGGCAAGTTTAGACAAGAACTGAAAGATTTTCCTATTAACCGATCGTCAACGAATCATTCGGCGAGTTTGCGCGGTCTTATTGTCTCAAAATATTTATTTAGATTAAAATTTTACAATGATTAAACATTTCATAATGCCACAAACAATAAAGATATCTCGCACAAACTAGATGAGAATGGTTTACAATTACTTAGTTATCAACAAAGTAAATGTGTCTTACAAAAGATTAATGATCCACAAACAGATTGCGCTTTTTATCAAATACCTGATGGTATAGAATTAAACACGAATGAAATTGTGCCAGATATTATTAGTAGGAAGATATTTCGAAATATGTTGTATTCTGCTGCTTAATTATGTCAATTAGCATTTGTATCTGTTGGTAGTCTGTGCGGAAAGAGAATGGGATTTAGATTGGAGGGCGCTGTAGTGCTTTTCTACCGTATTTGTAAGGTTTTACCCCTTTAAGACATGATTAAATACAAAAAACCGCAAGAAATCACAACAACAAACAAATCCGTATCAATACAAAACTTTGACGTTTTACAGATTGCTGGGTTTGATTGCCAAATAAAAATCTTAACGTAAGTTCCGTTTTTCGCCACGCCCATTCTCTTTCCGCAAACTATATAGAAAAGATGCATTACGGTCATTAGAAGATTTTTTTTGCTCGCCTAACTACTTATTACCTTTTCTGAATGAACTATGAGG